CTGCTGGGTGCCTCTGTGCATGGATATCTTGGGGCAGAGGGCCCCATTGGGAAGCACGGGGTATTTTTTTGTTGTTGTTGTTGTTGCTGATGAGCTGTCAGACAGCATCTGTGAAACACAAAATGTGCTACCAGGACATGGAGCTGCCCTGTGCTGCAGCTGCTTCAGCCTGGGATCGGGCCATCAGCCAGCAGGCTGATTCAGCCCTAGGACTGCTCTCTCCTCCCTGAAGCCCATTCCCTGGCTCTGTCTCCAGCTCTCATACACCACATGTAGCTGCTGGCACAAGACCTCTAACATAACGGCATGCAGTTGCTGATTTTTAATACTATTTTTTTCTCTCCCTCTTCTCCAGAGGAATCCAATAAGAAACACCCCTTCCCCTGCCCCACATCCTACCGTACAGCCCTGACGTACTACCTGGACATCACCAACCCACCCCGCACCAATGTCCTCTACGAGCTGGCCCAGTACGCCACAGACGCCAGCGAGCAGGAGCGCCTCCGCAAAATGGCATCATCTGCTGCTGAGGGGAAGGTGGGAGCTGTGGCCTTCCCAGCAAAGCTGCTGGGTTGAACTGGGTGCTGGGGGATCCCCAAAAGGGATCCAGGACTGTTGGGCACCGCATACAGAGAGCTGAGGCAGTGTTTGCCAGCCACCTAGGGCAGTTGTCACGTGTGTGCCCTCCTTGCCCGCAGGCTCTCTACCTCAGCTGGGTGGTGGAGGCCCGGAGGAACATCCTGGCCATCCTGCAGGACATGCCCTCGCTGCGCCCCCCCATCGACCACTTGTGTGAGCTCCTGCCCCGCCTGCAGGCCCGCTACTACTCCATCGCCTCCTCCTCCAAGGTGAGCGTGCTTCTAGCAGGGACCGAGGCTGCTGAGAGACCGCTTCAGCCGCAGCTCCGTGGTGCCACTGTTCCCCCCTCTCAGCTGGGGACAGGACTCGGGGAATTTGCCCTGGCAACACTTTCTGTGTGGGGGCAGCTTTAGTTATATCCATGCATGAGAAGAGGGGGTTATCCCAACTTCCATAAGGTCTTGCAGCCAGCTGTGCCTGGATACCACCACCCTTCCTGCAGCCCTGCTCCTCTTTGGCCTTGCTTTCAGAGCTTGGAAGCAAGGTGGCATTTTAGGGGTTGGTCAAAATTGACTCTTTATTTTGTGCCTGAAGCCCTGAGGCTGTTGGCAATATCGAGGGAAGCTCAGCAGTCCTGTGATGAGTTGAGCACAGGACAGAAGTCTTGTGTGGGGCATGCCTGGAGGCTTGATCTGCCAAGGGAGGAATAGCTGTCACAACGTTAACATTAGGTTAAACTTCTCCCCATCCCTGAGCATGACAGACTGAGCTGTGGGGTTGCTGGGGCTCCCTCTCTGCCTGGTGCTGAAGTCCCTTCCCTGCAGGTTCACCCCAATGCCATCCACATCTGTGCCGTGACAGTGGAGTATGAGACCAAGACGGGACGCCTGAACAAAGGGGTGGCCACCAACTGGCTTAAGAACAAGGTGCCCAATGAGAATGGGAGCAACTCCCTGGTGCCCATGTATGTCAGGAAGTCACAGTTTCGCCTGCCCTTCAAACCTAGCACACCCATCATCATGGTTGGACCGGGGACTGGCATAGCCCCCTTCATTGGCTTCATTCAGGAGCGGGCCTGGCTGAAGCAGCAAGGTGAGTGCCCAGGAGCTTCCCCAGGACTGGAACTGCTGCAGGATGATGCTCTGTGGGGCCAGTCGGTGCCTCCAAGGTGCAGCTTGTGCTGCTCATATTGCTGACAGATGTAGCAAAAAGCAGATGTGGTGGAGCAGGGTGAATGGCAGCTAAGTGTTTTTGTCCAGCATGAGGATGTTTTGTCCTCTTCCTTGGCCGCAGAGGATATTTGGGGGGCAAATAGACCTGAGCCAGTTCTCTGACCTCTGCCACCATGTCTCCGAATAACCACAGTCAAGTCACTTAGTCTCGTTTCTAAATGTGTGGGTACTTGTGGGAATCGGTCTGGAGCTTCCCCTTATAAACAGAAGCAGTTGCACAGCTCTGCCTCCCCTGGGTTGGTGGGGAGGACAGGGTTGGGGGCTGCAGGGGGCCAGCTGATGGGTGCTGGCTGACTCTGCAGGCAAAGAGGTGGGTGAGACCGTGCTTTACTATGGCTGAAATAGCGCCGCCGCCACGAGCGTGAGGACTACCTGTACCGTGAGGAGCTGGCCCGCTTCCATCAGGAGGGAGTCCTCACCCAGCTCAACGTCGCCTTCTCCAGAGACCAGGCCGAGAAGGTACTGCTCTAGTCCCCCAGCTGCAGGCTCACGCTGCCCAGCATGGCTCCTGGCTGTGGCAGCGGGGGAAGAAAAGGCCCCAAGGGCTGGAGACTCCCAGCCCTCAGCCTCGCCGCGAGGGAAGGCCCATGGCAGACGTAGGCGCGCCAGCAGCTCCGCTGTATTCTGGAGCCGCGAGCGCGGGCTTGGCTTCCCCTCCTGCACCACGGCCTGTGGTGTGGGGGCTCTGCTCCTCTCGCCTCACTCCCACCTTGTTTCCTGCCAGGTTTATGTTCAGCACTTACTGAAGAAGAACAAGGAAAACATCTGGAAGCTGGTTAATGAGGGGAACGCTCATATCTATGTGTGCGGGTAGGTCTGGCGGCAGGGAAGGGACTTTGGGAAAGTGTTCCTATTCTCAGGAAAATTGAGTGTGACATGGTTTACCCACTCATGCATTACAAGCCCTGGGGAGGGTTATGCTGTCCTTGTTCCAGGGGAGGGCAAGCGCCAGGCGGATGGGCTGGGGTGAGCGTAGCGCCTGTGTTGGGGTGTTGAAAGGTGATGCGGGCTCCATGGTTCTGACGTGTTACTGCCTCACTCACGGTCCACTTGTTTCCAGCGACGCTCGCAACATGGCCCGAGATGTGCAGAACACCTTCTACGAGATCGTGGCGGAGTTTGGGAACATGAGCCAACCCCAGGCCGTGGACTATGTAAAGAAACTGATGACGAAGGGCCGGTACTCGTTGGACGTCTGGAGCTAAGAGCGGGGCTGGCAGGGCTGGGGAGAGCACGAGTCCCCAGGCGTGGGCCTGTGGGAGGTGGAAAGTGCCTGCTCACCCACCGCTGCTGTGGGTGACAGTGTTGTCCCCAGCCCACAGCTACCCCAGTGTCACTTCCAACCCCTCCTGGGCCACAGCAGCCCCCTGAGGCAGGCTGTGTACCCTGGGGGGTGGAAGGGGTTGAGAGAGGCAGGGGGGTAGCTCAGGCTGTTGTCCAGGAGCCGTGGTGCCTCCGGCACCCCAGGGAGCACCTCGCAGCAGCGTTTGCCTTGAGGTCAGGGGCACAGCTGATGTGGGCCAGGAGGGATGGATGGTGCTGGGGGAGCTCTGGGCTCCTCCCCTGAACACGAGGTGTTGCCTTATACCCTGGGGCTGCAGCCCACCCTGGCCTGCTGGCATGGGCAGCTAGGGGAGGGCAGAGGGGCCAGTAGCCCCCAAGTGCTGAGGGTTTGGTGTCAGGGCATGGCGTGGGGCAACAATCTGTCCTCGCCTCCCTCCCACCCTGTTTGGCCAGCTCTAGGATGTGGGGCTGGCAGCCAGCTCTGGGCACAGAGCTGCCCCATGCCATCAGGACCCCACAGGCACCGCTCCTTTCACCTGCTGCCCACCTTTGCTCCGGCATGCAGTGAGGAGGGGCCAGCTCCTCTCCCCTCTTCTGGAAGAGACCCGGTCTTGTGGGGTCTCGGCCTGCAAGGGCCCTGCTTGCTCCCTTGGGTCTGGCAGCTCACCTGTGCCCAGCCCCTCCCTCATGCTGTGTACGGTCATTTTTTAAATACTGTTTTTATTTTAACATCTTTGTGATTTAATCATGGGGGGAAAAAAACCAAAACTTTCAGGCTGTCCAATGACTGTAAATTATTTAAATACATTTGCCCTTGGAATAAAAATACTGTTTCTGTAGTTTGCTTCCTGCCTTCTCTCTGCTCACCCAGAGGGAAGGAGGAGGAGCAATGGCTGCTGGCCAGGAGGAAACCTGGGGAACAGGCAGCAGCTCTGGGCTTTTAGGCTGAGCTGGGGCAGCCCCTGCCCTGGGGTGCTGTGCCCTGGCAGGGCAGTGCTGACAGGGGTGGGTGGCTCTGGACTGAGGCACAGCTGTGTCAGACCTGCCCTTTGCTTCCCAGCCCTTCCGGGGTTCCCAGTCTGTGCGGACACTAAAGTCCTGCTGGGCTCCTTAGGCAGCTGAAGCTCTGGCTGCAGCCTGGGGCTGTGCAGGCCTGGGGATGCTGCAGGAGGGAGCTTGCAGCACTGCCCTCCCCACCCCACTGCACCCTGGGCTGGCGTGGGGGCACTTGGACATGGCTTTTCTTCCCTCCCGCAGACATGTTGTGTCAGGGGCCCGCTGCCAGGTGAGCCAAAGCCACAGCACAAAGCACACGACCTGTCCTGAGACCACCCTGGTGACCTGAGGCAGCACCTTCCCTTTATTTTCACCTGCGGGACCAGGGTGCTGTTTGCACAGCTCCAGGGCGAGGCCCAGCTCAGGCTCATGGTGCTCCCACCCCTCTGGTGCCACAGCTCCTCCATCTCAGCCCCCCCTGCCCTATGGCTGGAAGGTAAAGGAGGAACTGGGGTGCGACACACCCTGGAAATCAGTGCTTGCCCACGGCCTCCAGCTGCCCTTGAAAGCAGGGCAGGCCCCAGGGAAGCCACTGCTCGCAGCCTCAGGGCTGCGAGGGCCTCTCTGCCTTCAGTATGCAGGGGCTGCTCGGCCAGGGGGAGAAGGGGAGAGCCCTGACCCCAGGGGAGTTGGTGCAGCCTGGGCTGCCCCTGCCTGCAGTGGGGTGGGGAGCACTAGCAGAGCTGGGCTTGACCCCAGAGACCCATCCCAGCAACTGTCTTCAGGGCAGAGGGAAGGGGAGCAGCTGTCCCAGCTGTCTCCTGGAGAAGATGGACGGGACAGGAGTTGCAGGGTGCTCCAGGCTCCAGAGGAGTGACTCGGTCACAGATCCAGCACCACAGGACCCCACACCCAGGCTTCCAAGGAATGGGGCGAGAACCAGAGTCTGGACGGTATCAAGTAGAACGGCGATGGGCAATGGAGCCGGTGGGGAGAAACAGTCCTGGCCCCCCCCGCCACCCTTCAATTCCGCTTCGTGTCTTTGTTCTTATTCTGAAATTTCTGGTGGACGACACGGAGGGTGGTGAAGAAGTTCCCCAGGAAGAGGATGAAGAAGGGGAGGCCGCACATGAGGACCTGCGGAGCCACAGAGGCACGAGTCAGCAGGAGGGACCTGCCTGGGGCATCCCCGTCCCCAGGGCAGCTGCCTGGGAGCCCCCTTACCTGCCACTCCTTGCATTCTGGGTGCTGGATCATGCGGAAGAGGGTGACAGCATTGTAGAGCTGCCAGAACTGCAGGAGAGAGGAGATGCAGAGGAGTTTCTGCTTTCAGAGGCTCAACCCCATGCCGACACTCATCCAGCTGCTTCCTCTTGGCACAAGCCCCACACAGGCCTCGCGTGAGGCCAGGCTGCCCTGGCACGCAGGGAAGCCCTGTCCAGGCCTCGGGCCAGAGGACCCCAGCTGGGACATCTCCCCCTTTCTTGCCACCTTCTGGAGCTCAATGGCCAGGAGGAAGCCGCAGAGCAGCCTACTGCTTTTGGCCAGTGGCCTAAGTGATCTGACCAAGGAAGAACTGGACCTTCAGCAGCAGCTGAGGCTCAGAAGGGGGTTGGAAGGTGTCTGGAAGGCTTCTGCTGTATTTTGCCCAACACTCAAGCATTTGGCAGAACTAGCCCAAGTCCTCCCCATCTCACTAGACAAGTTGTGGAGGTAGTGGATGCTCTTGAAAAGGCTCAGCAGTTGCTGGAAGCATTTCCCTGCCTCTGGCTTCCGTATCGCATGGCTGCAGCAGCCCACAGGGAACTGCGTGAGGTGCAGGCTGCCAAGCGCAGCCAGGAATACAACACTATCTGCTCCCAGCTGAGGCTCTGGCTTCTTGCAGGTCCCTACGAGGATCAGCAGATACTCACCTGCCCAAAGAAGAGGAAGGGAAGCAGGAACGTGAGGCCTCTCCACATCCAGGACTGGAAGCCCTCTGCAAAGGATGAAGGTTTGCACGGGGACCCAAGAACATGCTAGCCAGGGGACCGGACGGAGCCTGGCTCCTGGGGCCACGGGTAGGGAGGTTGTGGCCACCCCGTGCCTGGCTGAGAGGGTCCTGCCAGGCTAATGCAGCCTCGCTGTGGGCATCTGTGCTCCCTGGGAGGACTGCGGCAGGGGTTCCTAGTGCTGACCGCACGTGGGCCTCTGGAGGAAGCTGCTCAGGTAGAGCTGCCCTCACCCACAGCTGCTGCCCCTCAGCCCGAGTGCTCACTGCTGCAGGGGCCAGGGAGGTAGCAGCCCACAAGTAGGTGGGGTGTTGAAGGGACGTTTCATCTCTGAAGGAGCTTCCTGGGGAAAGCTCAGATGCCAGGAGCCACATCTGCTGCTACCTCGCATCTTGAGGGAGTCAGTTGTGGGCCGGTGGCTCAGGAGAGCAGGAGGAGGGCTGCATCCAGCCTACGGGATGCCGCTGCCTCATGAGAGATGCTGCTCTCGGAGCTTTGGCTTTAATTGTAGCTTTTACCATTTCTGCTACTGAAAACCACAGTCAAACTAAACTCAAACAAAAATAACTGTCACTGTTGCCTTTAACAGAAACCACAGCTCCCAGCTAGCCGAGCACCAGTCTGGTGCTGGGAGGGAGGCTGCTTGCTGCTGCTGCAGGGCCTGTGGCTGCTATGGCAGGTCTAGCTGGCATGGGACAACCAGTAAGGGAAGATCCCAGCTTACCCACAGTCAGATCCATGTTGTGCCTCTCACCCAGCGCTCGCAGCCGATACAAGCACCCGCTCTGATAGTAGTACTGGAGGAACTGCACGAAGCCTGCAAGGAGAGCGTGGAGGCAGTCAGCAAGTGCCCAGGCATCAGCTCCCATCCCAGCGCCAGGGCGGTGGAGGGCAGGACAGAGGCCAAGGGAAAACCCAGGTGAGCCAAGAGCTGGGAGCAGCTGCAGCTGGGTCTCTGTGTGTGGCAGAGCCAGGCAGGCACGCTCGGCACCCGAGGCCAGCCACAGTCCCAGCCCCTGTCCCAGCACATGTGGCAGCACTTACTCTGATACATGGAGAAGGAGAGGAACTGGTTCCTGAACATCTGGTACATGAGCCCGTCCGGCCTACGGAGAGAGGGTGCTGGCTGGGGGATGTGGGGCTGAGAGGAGATGCAGCCAGCTCTACCTTCCCCACAGCTGGGGTAACGGCACTCTGCCTCACCCAGCACCCATCGAAACAGGGGGTCAATAGGGGAAGATAGCCCTTCCACAAGAGCTGCAGTGCAGGGGATCATGTTTCCCAGCCCAGGGACCCTGCCTGCCGCACAAAAGTGCCGATGGGCCTGGTGAGGAATATGGGGAGTTGACTGTTAGACCCCAATGTCCACAGAGTGGGAATATGGCCATGCGTTAGGGCAGCAAAGGCCCCTTTGAGCTGGCCACAGCCCAAGCAGGCCGTGGCATCTACAGGCAAGGGGACACAGACTTACCACGTCAGCATGACACCTGAGAGGAAGGTGGAGACATAGTGATGGAAAACCCACCAGCCTTTGATTCTGGAAGGCAGACAGAGGCAAGAGGCGTCAGGTCTTGAGCACGAATCAAGACCCAAACACGTGCCGGGAGAGCGGAGCCAGCCCAGCGCCGGCTGCCCTCCAGCTCCCAGGGCAAGGCGAGGAGCAGGGCTGGTGATGAAATAGCCCTGTGTGGAGCAGGACCCAGCGCCTCCAGTCCAGGCGGTGCCAGGGCCCTTTCAGCCACCGCTCCACCTTCCCGCACCGCCTCCGCACAGGGAGCTCCTCCTGCCCCATACGGCTCGTTACCAGGGTTTGCTACACGCCCTGAGTAGGAGGGGGCTGCTCCCTTAGGAAGCGCGGAGCTATGCATCAGGTCCCGACTCCCTGGCCTTGCAGAGAAGGACCAACTTGCTACGTGCCCCCTCTCCCCGAGCCCAAGGGACTCACTTGGATCCGTTGTTGATCAAGATGCTCTCCCGGATAGTGAGGGTGCAGTAGTACCACACCAGGAGGAAGTTAAAGACAGCATCTGTCACCCTGGTGGGAACAAAGCAGGATGTAAAGGCCGCAGCAGAGCCACTGCCCATGCATTGGGGGGCACAGGCACCGAGACAGCCATCGCTGCAGGATGCCCACCCACCCTGCAGGCAGGGAGACCACCCAACACAGCCACAGCAAGACCGCAGCATCCAAAAAAGCCACCCCACCTCCAGGGCAGTGGCCGGATCCTTTGTCAGGATCTCCTGTTCAGCTCTGGACCTTTCAGGGCGGGAGAGGAGGACCCAGGGGCCTGGGAGGAGATCTCTGCCTGGCATGCAAGCCAGACTCACCTGGAGTTGAGGAGGAACCGACAGGAGAAGGACACAATGAGTAAGATGATGGTGAGGTACAGCTTGAACTTCTCATACTCATCTTTATATGCAAACCTGCAGGGAGGCACAAGGACAGGCTTGGAGCAAGGTGGCTGCTGGAAGTCTCTGTCCTCCTATCCCACCTGGCTGGACAGAAGTGATGCTCTGTTGGGAGCCTCTGGGACATGCTCAGGAAAAGCCTCATCCCCTGGGTATTTCTGAGAGGAGAGCACACCAGGCTGCTTTCACACAGATAAGACAGCTTCAAGTCACCCCCCACCCATGCCAACCTGGCGGGTGGCCCAGAGGGCTCTGGGAAGCTGGACAGGTTGGTGTCTGCTCAGCTCTTCAAGGGGAGCTTCAAGGCCTGGGGAACTGAGGAAGGGGGACATGGGCTCCTGGCTGGGCACCTCCGGCATTAGCGGGGGGGCTCTCATGAGACAAAATCGGCCATTGGTGTTTCCCAAGGGAAGAGGAGGGGGCTTGCCAGTGGCTGCACAAGTGCCTCTCCTGGAAGTCCCTAACACAGGGGAAACATGGACACAGCCTTGCTGGAGGATCCTGTTTAGCTTATCAGAGCTAACGGTCCCTCCCTGCCTGGTGGCAGGAGCGTAAGGGGGAGTCAAGGACTCGGACGATTCTGGCAAAGGAAGCAGGGGCCAGCCCGGGAAGGGAATCTGCACCAGGTGGGTCAAGCCCGCCACGTGTCTGCACGTGCCGCAGCCTCAGCCCGGAGGAGTTGTTGTTTCCTGGTGACGAGGGGATCCCAGGCCAGGCAAAGCACACAGCAGCAGTGACGTGAGGGCCGTACTTGGCCTGCTTGCTGAGCAGCGTGACGTTCACGTTCCCAAGCACCAGACTCAGATACAACCTGGGGAGAGAGCGGAAGCATTACGATGGGAGCTGGCAGCGCTGCTGCAGAGACGAGGCAAAGCCGTCCCCTCTCGTGCCACCGCTGAGGCCGCGGGGCTGGGAACAAGCTCCCAGCTGTTTTCCACTCAGAGCTGCCAGGCAGCATGACTGGCACAAACGCTCTGGCATCTCCTCCCAAGGGCAGGGGGACAGGCGGCCCAGCACACACCCCACCTCCCGCAGGCACCAGGGTCTTTGCCGGGTCTGCCTTCAAGGGCAGGTGAAGGCCACAAGCAAGTAGAGGAGCGAGGGGGACGAGGGCAGTGCTGCAGAGTCTCGGCCTGGCTGAGCCTGAGCTGGGCAGTGCAGCTGCGACACCGCCGGGAGCAAAGGTGACAGCAGGCTTGTGCCTTGCAGCATAACGGCCACAGGGAGACAGAGGGAGGACCTGGTGTTTCACCCAGAGACGAGGCGCCTCTTACCCATTCTTCTTTGGCAGATAGGCCTCCATCTCAAAGAAAACGTTCTGCCTCTCTTTTATTAGGCTCTGGGTCTCTAGGATGGACTCCTCCTGTTTGGGACTCATGTGGGCTTTGCATCTGGGGAGGAAACACAGGCGCTGGCATCAGGACAGCCTCCGTAACACCATCAGCATGTGCTGGCACTTGATACAGGACAGTGGCAGATGAGGACACCCCAAGGTCAGGGAAGATGGACTGCAGGCAAGTCCACGACTCCATCTGCAGGGTGAGCTCCTCTGTTAGACTGGGATGTTGCTCAAGGAAAGGAAGCAGGAAGGAGAGCAAGGGGGGGCCAGACAGTTGGTCTTCTCAAGGAAGGATGGAGAGTGCTTTGTGCGGGATGGGGGGCAGTTCCAGTTACCCGCAAAGCCCTTGCAAGCTCTGAACTGCAAACAAGGCCCAAATCCAGGCAGAGGAAAGGGAAGCTGAGGAAGATCAGCCTGGGTGAGTCCAGACCTCCACAACACTTTGCTCTCAGTGAGGCTGCAGTAGCGTTTGTGAGACAGAGCCGTGAGATGACTTCAATAGCCCCATCCTTGCTGCTCTCCTCTCCCATCCCACCGCAGGACACCAACTTACTTTTTGAGGGACAATGACAGCTCCTTCAGCCGCTTCTTCTGACGTGCGATGGAGCTAGAGATCCCATCCTGGAGCTTGGTTAGCTCCTCAAGTTTCTGCTTGTACAGCTTGTGATTATCCTGGGAAAGAGAGACTGGCATGCATTACAGCTGCCTGCTCAGTCCTCCCTGTCCTTGGGTACCTTGTAGGGGCATCTATTGAAGCATCTGTTAAAAATTGTCTCTAACTTCACCTGCACAGCAGGCTGGGCAAGACAAGAGGCGGTTGCAGAAGGCCAGGCGTATCTGGGGACAGCCTGCGGCCATCCCTGCTTCCGTGGGGGCAGAAGCAGCCGCTGGAGCCATCCTCAGTCCCAAGGAAGTTATCCACAGCTGCAGGCACTTCCCCACACACAGCCTGCTCCTGCCTTGCACATGGCTTGTGTCTGCCCCCCTACTCCAGCTACAGGCTGTGAAAGTCCAACCGGCAACTTGGAGATGCTCCCGTGGTTGAGAAACCACTGACTGCAGCACAGGGGATAGGAAAGATTTGGACAGGGGTGAAAAAACACTGCTGGGGCCCTCAGGGCTGCAGCCGAGGGCCACGGCCACCCAGGAGCGGTGGCTTTGACTGCTGGGCTGGGCTGAGCAGCTTGCTCTGCCTGCAGGTTCAAGCAGCACCCGCCACTGCCATGACTCTTGACTCTGGGGCTCCAGCCTGACCACCCCCAGGGATGCTGGAAGGAGCCCGTCAATGAGCCAGACAAAGGGAACGGACTTGCAGCAGGGCTGCGGCCAACTGTCCTGCTCCTCATGCGGCGGTAACCCAACCGCACCTGGGTAAGGCTGGCTGCCATTCTTCTGCTATATTTAGAAAGGAAAGGAGAGAGCGTGCTGGATCAATGCTCCTTCTCCTCCATGTCAGCTGGAAAACAGCCTCACCTCAGCCACAGACAGCCCGAATGCCACCTCCACCAGGGAATTAAATGCTGTTCGCAACAACCCTTGGACTAGATGTTCACACACACACACACACACACATTTTAGCCTCTGTAGCTCTTATCGAGCACGTTATCAGCAGATCTCAAAGCTGTTCCCAAAGGAGAAAGGTGAAACTAAGACGCAGAGAAGGGAAACAACTCCTTCTCCCTCTGGTGACAAGCAGTGGCAGGGTGGGAACAGATCCTAGATAGCCCTGGCTCCTCCAGCAGTGATTTATGGCCCTGATCTCTCACGGGCCATTCCCTGCTCAACCATCAAGTTTTCCTGCTCCCCACCTGGAGTCGCCTCCTTCTCTTGCTCTGGAGTTAAGTGAGAGCAAGCGGCTTTTGGGACAACTCCTTCAGCCGTGCCAGGATCCAAGCACCACGCTCAGACACAGCCTGGATCAAGAAGGTTTCGAAAGGAAAGGGCCGGCACTGCGCAGCTGCACCCAGGGTTCAAAGCGGGTGACTCGGGCCATCCACTGCAACCACCCCTATGGAGCAAGAGGTTTCTCAAAGCCTCCCTTGCCCCAGATTTGGGCACAGCTGCGATATGTCCGCAACAACATCCGCTTCACCCCGCTCCCCAGGGGGAAGGAGGGGGAAAGGGAACTGGTGCAGATGCAGCCAACTGATCTGAACCGCAGCAGAAGACAGTTGGTTGACCTTCTCCTTGGGTGAGCCCCTGCCTGAGCAGAACCCTTCCCCCTGCTTCCCCCGACAGTAAGTGCCCTGGGGATTTCACCAAGCAGGTGGAAACGTCCCTGATACCAGGGAGAGCGAAAGCCACCCATGGCTTCAAGCTTGGAGCAGCGATGGAGCATGAACAGCATCTGCACGCTTCTCTCCCC